AGATCAAATAATGTACCAGGTCAGTCATAACTGGTACAAGGCCCTTACTGCCGTGAGATGACAAAGTGACGTAAACGCCACTATAGTCAACTTGCACTTTTCTTCATATTCATAATCTATACCCTAAGATAACCAGAAAACACTCTCTTCGTGATAAAAATGTGTTTTGGAAGCCTGGAGACAAAGTGACGTAACCATACATTTTCGGAGAAAGAGTAATATGTTTTCACTGTTTCTACGGATAAGTGACGTCCACGGATAAGTGACGTTCAAAAGAAGTTTTAAACAGTGAGGTTCATATTTTCCGCTTAATTTTGACATTTTTTAACAGAATGAAAATTTTGTTGGCAAATTTTTATAATTATTGCAAGTTTATGCACCCAGGTCATAATTTTCGTTGTAATTGATGGTGTATGAGATTTTCTAGGTTCGCCAAGTTGCTTTGAAGTTCAGATTATTTGATCTACTGGCTCAACCATGAACTGCACGATGATCTCACCGACAAAACTTTCCGAAACACGTTTATACAGTTTCTGCTGTTCGTTTATAGTTGATTTTGAGGTGTATAAGATACTCACGGTTCTCCAAATTATCCTTGAGTTCAGATCAAATTCTCATCCAGGTTCACTGATTCAAAGCCCTTTGTATTAAAACATCTCCAAACAGGGTTAAACATATCATGCACATTATTTACGTTTGAATTCGATATGTTTAAGACGTTCTAGGTTCACCAAATTGTCCTCAAAACTTTTTAATTAGGCTACCATCTCGCATTTTAGTTTGATTACATTCATAGATCAGGGGGCCTTCGTAAGCTCGGTCGGTAGAGCCTGCGACTATAAAGCAAACCATGCTGGAGGTGGCTGGGTTCGAATCCCGGTTGGTCTAGGATTTCAGATTGGAAAATTTCTCGACTTCCCTGGGCATAGTTTATTATTGTACTTGCCACACAATATACACATGTAAAAATCGAACAGGCTTGGAAAGCTTTCAATTAACAACTGTGGAAGTGCATCTAGAGCACTAAGTTGAGAGCAGGCGATAAGTTACAGTTGGGACGTAATAGCCAGAGAAGATCATAGATAGCACTAACTAGCAGAGGAATTCCGAATTGTTCTGTCCATCATCCAACAGTCCTTGACCTCTTGATCAACTTTGCCGAAGAAATCATCGGTCTAAATAGTCAGGATCTTGAGATACAGCAGCACAAATATATTCACTTTCAATAATCACTAGCGCCACCTAGTGGAGGAATTCCGAATTGTTCTGTCCATCATCCAACAATCCTTGACCCCCTGATCAACTCTGTCGAAGAAATCATCCGTCTATATAATCGGTATCTTGAGATACAGCATTCAAATCATGCAAAATAGGAGATTTTAGGGCAAAACTGTGAAAAACCCCAACTTACGCTATCATGCCCAAGATGAAACCCACTCCAATCGATTCCTGAGACTTTTTCTATAAGAATGACTATATTTTAGTCTCTTGTTCCAGCGAGCACCGAAGTTATTGAATTTTAACACATTGTTTCGATTTTATCCCCAGTGTGCAATGGCTGGAAATTGTGTGGAAAGGAGGAGATGGTCACATAAAACTCTAACATTAGACAAACAAAGGAATTCGTAGATCGCCTGCATGTAGGGAAGATCACGGGTTCCCAATACATCTCTTACTTCACGGAAGGGTTGTCTACCTCGGGTCACAAGTCGTGCTCTGGAGGCGTCATTACTCGGGCAATACCAAACTGCGTGACAGATATCATCATAACCGGTTCTACACCTACATACTTATATTGCTGTCAACGAGGTTTATTCTGTAGAGATGTGCGTCTAGCGAGTACACTGTAAAAATTTGTGAATATTAAAGATCAGGCTTGCAATTGCTCATTACAGCTAAAATGCTATTTTTCGTAATTATGAAACAATGAGATACTATAATGATAATTTTTATTTGTAAGATGCAAGAAGAGGTGGTAAAATTTGTGTATGACATATAAAATTTTACAATTTTGTTTTCAGAAGGTCACAATTAGCGATTAGCTGTAACGATGAGCAACGCGATGAGCGAGCAATCAGCGATCATAAAATCGCTAGTTGTGACCTTCTGAAAGCAAAATTGCCAATTTTTATGTGTCATACACAAACTTTACCACCTCTTCTTGCATCTTACAAATAAAAATTATCATTACAGTATCTCATTGTTTCAGAATTACGAAAAATAGCATTTTAGCTGAAATGAGCAATTGCAAGCCTGTTAAAGATGATGTAATTTGAAATGTTATTAAAATGATGCTCACGTAATGCTTTCTATAATTAATTTTTACGTTGATGATAACGTTTAAAATACATTCGGCGCGTAAAATTGAGATTTTATCCTGTAACGCTTAAATTTACTGATCTGTTTGAAATTTCAGATAAACTAAATAGAATATTACGTGGCACGATGTTTTTTCCATCATTAACGATTTAATGTTACATGAACGTAACGATAATTTGATAAACAGCACAACTTTTGATGCATGTCAAAACAGTTTGGCGAGGGCCATGATTGTGCGTGCGCGTGTTGTTATAAAGCTCGTCAATAATTATTAATGTACAGTACTTTAAGCTCTCTATTTTGAATTTGAATGTTCTCAGGGAACACATTACGGTGGTGTTGTTAATCGGAGCCAACGACGATACGAATCTGCCCGCTTGCTTCTGCTCATCATTGGTATATTGATCCTCTTCGGTGGCCGCCGCTGTAAATGGTTAGTTGCTAAATTGACAGTCCGTTGCTGCTGATCTCCTTCCGTGTTGGTTTGTTGCTGCTTCTGCTTTTTTAGATCTTCGATCCGAGTAACACAATTACAGTACGGAAATGCTAGCTAAAACCTGTCAAAAATTATTAGGAAGAGAACAAATTTACGAATGATTCTGCATATGTGGAACGATTTTTTTCACATCACAGAAACGGAGCAATGCATTCTACGCATGAAAGTAAATATGATGTGTGTTGTCACCTGATCCATAATAAATAAACGCGGTTTAATTGTGATATCAGAGAATACAAATATGAAAGTTTATTACTATTAAGAATGAGTACTTCTATGAAATTAAAAATTAAAATTTCACCCGTAACCTAGAAACGCCATAAGGTATGTAAAATTACGTAATTTTACGTTATATATCATGCAGTTCTTATGTTAAATTTAGTTCAACGTAAAATTAAACGTTTTGTTTGAACTGTGTAGTGGTTGGTCATAAGTCTTGACATCACGCAAATGAAGCCCCGACTCACATCCTTTGAACCACGCTCTCGAAGAAACATTTGGAATAATGGAATGTAACCACCGCCCAAAAGAATTACTTGTCCAATCGTTTTGCCAACTTAAAAGAAACTCTGCACAGCAAAAAATTAATTTTAATATCACATCAAAGTGGATGCACTTCAATCGTGTCGAAAATATGGTGTAATATTACTAGTCAAAATGAACAAAATTATCATCAACATAGTGTATGAACTGACATTACGCTGCTTATACTGCATTTGTTTAATGTTGTGGCCATAAAAATTACTTGAGATTTTCGACATGATTTAAGTGCATCCTCGTGGATGTAATATAAAAAATTTAATTTTTGCTGTGTGACGTACTAATGGGAAAAATTCATCATGTGAAATTCTTCTATCAAAAATCTCGCCTTGTTGTGCGCCCACCTTTGCAAGAGAGTCTGCCTTCTCATTGCCTGGGATTGAGTAATGTGAGGGGATATATGATCATTCGACCAGCAAACTCATCTGCTCCCTTACCTTTGAAAGGAAATAAGATGAGTGCCTACCTTGGTTCATCGACCGAATAGTCTCAATCGAACTGAGACTATCCGAGAAGATGAAGTAATGGTCTATGGGCATGTCGGAAATCATCCCCAATGCGAAGTTTATTGCTGCTAGCTCAGCAACATAAACCGAACAAGATTCCTGAAGTTTCCGAAAGGCGGTTGAGTATTCATTGAAGACGCCGAAGCCAGTGGATCCATCAGTGAAAAATCTTCTATTGCAAATGACTTGTTGGTACTTTTTAGCAAAAATACGGGGAATTGAGATAGGTCGAAGTTGATCTGGAACTCCTTGAAAAGTCTGTTTCATGGAAAGGATCACAATTCATGATTTGGATTCTTATTTTGCTATCGAGCACGTCAAGTTGGTTACTTCGATGTTTCTTTATATGTTTTTAATAAGTTATTTGATTTATTTTATTTGAAGAATTTGCGGAGATCAAATGAGCCACACGCACTAAGTATTCAGTTTTAGTGTGTAAAATTCAGCCCTTTTAGAGTATGTTGTATTTCCGAACATATTTGTATCGATTGGAAAAAAATTTAAGTCAGTTGTCACGATCTGTCTTCAAAACGGAGATCACCATAAAAAAAAACTCTGAAAAGAAGCTGTCAAAAGTTGCAACTCATGTTCGCTTGGTGTCCCATTTTTGGTACTTTATGCGGCACCGCTTGCTCAACCATGCTTGGCTGCTGCCCAACAAAAATGTCACATGCAATAAATTTGTCAATATGCTCCAACCAATGACAAGACCTTGATCGCACTATAGTAAGTTGTGATTCAGCCACTGCAGGGGGGCAGCATTATCGTCGCCGTTGTCCGTTGATTGGGGTTGATCGTAAACGAAGCCGCCCGTTTGCTGTTTTGGTGCGCGTGTTCGTATTTATGCTACGGAAAAGGTTAAGTGCAATTCTCTTTAATCGTGCAACTCTGAACCGGAATCGTCGACAAATGAAAAATGGCATTTTGGTAGCAGGGCCCGGTAATTAAAATTCTACTCTGCAGAGGCGAACCTTTCTCTTTGTATGCAAATCACGAAACAATTTGGCGGGAAAGGAAAAGTAAGAGGGCTTCTTCGACAGATCCCCAGTGCCGGGGCAGAATAATTAAAAATTTAATCAGTACATATACCTTTCCGCGCGGAAGGTAGTTTTTATTTTTTATGTTATCATTTGGCTTACCTTTAGCTTATATTCGATTATCGCTGTTGAATCTGAAAATAGAGAAAACAGAAGGAGAACTTGAAATTTTCAACTCCGCAACATTCAAAGTTAAAATATTCATTTGGGGAATGTTATTCCTTGGAGCTAGAATGTGCTCCGGATATGCTCAATTCAAATTCAACAATTTTGTTGCTCCACTTTTCCGGTTTCGAAAAAGGAAAACCGAATAGCCATTGGCCTAGGTCGAACGAGCGTTCACCTTGTTGTGGCATATAAAGGACCGGCGAGGGAGGAGGAGGTGCGCTTTTGGAGGGAGATCCATACAAATATAAACTTTTCAAGCGGACTCACTCATACCCGCGCGTGGTGAAAATGGAAATGCGAAGGAAAATCCGCAACTTTCGGCCTCTCGGTATGTGCGCGAGTGCGAAGAGGGATATTCTTCAAACGATAAGAACAGGTACTCGTGCCATTCCACTCTTCTCGGATGGAAGCTATTATTCTTAGGTTTTTTTTTCCCTTACAAACGCGTTCTATACCGTGTGGTACTTTTGGATAACAATGGGGCTGGAGGAAAATTGCGTTCTTGTTCAGAGGATGTATATAAATACTGTTATCTCGTAAGAGTTGCGCTTTCTCTGGGTTGGATAAATGGTACAAGTTTACCTTTTCGTGTTGTTTCGGGTTGGCAGTAGAGGGGAAGGAAAGGTAAAGGTTGGTTCGGCTGAAATTTGTCGGTTTCTTGTCCAGGACAACAGGATGTGTTCAGTAAAGTCCATTGCTAAATGATGCGGAAAATAGGCTGCAAGGTGTATCACTGACTGGAAAAGATCGTAGCTCTTTTTATTTTACAGTTGAAAGACTCCTATGTTTAGCTATTTGTCAATGGGTAAAAACCTTATTGTTTTGAAATAAGGTAGGGTTTCCTCTTTTTCCTGACTTTGACGCTCTTACACGAGCTTTCGCCTGCACTCAGCTTAGTGTTCTTGAATGAAATGCCTAGTCATTAGTTGAGACCTTTCTATGCCAATGAATGCATGCATGCAAAACATATTTTCGATCTAAGGCTCTGAGGGTTAAATATCATATAGGGGAAATGGCTCTAATATTAGCTTATGGATCTAAGATTGGGCCCATCGCTAAAAACCTGCTATTTATCAATTTTATCTAGATGAGCGCGTCATTGGGACGGTATTAATGGATATTTTTGGTCGCAATTGAAAGTTTAGTCGATTGCTGAATTTATGTATAGGCCCAAATTAGGGAAATTTAGGCCGACATTACATCCATTTCCCCTACCATTCGACTCAGGGCCATGAGATTTGAAAATGTGTGTATGTGTGTGCATGTGTGTGTAACTCACTAAATTTTCTTGGCGATGGTTGAACCGATTTGAGTACAACAAAATCCAATTTGTGTCTTTATGACTCCCATAATGCCCTATTGAATTTTATCCCGATCGGACATTTCGTTCCGGAGAAGGGCATGAGCATGATTGACCGCCCACGGTTGCTACTCAGTTATTGCCAGATCAGCTGTAAATACACAGAGAACCAATAGACGATGCTTGGGACTAGAATTCATCCTCAATGTGTAAATACTTTGGGTAAGAGGGTTAGGTTTGCAGCAGGGTTCGTTTTGGTAAACGATAAGCTGAATTGATGTCCTAATGATCATATAACGCGAAGGAGCTTGGGATTGATCCCACGGTCTTCTTCTCGGTAAGCAAAAACGTTTGCCACTATGTAAAGTAGCTCGTTTTTAATCATCGGGTTCCTGTTATTACCATGTAGTCATATTAACAAATAAAACGATTGACGAATATTGAATGTGGATGGGCCTGAGATTAGTCTCATGATGTTTTGCTCAGAAAGCAAAAACGGTCACTCTATGGCCACCGAGCCCCTCAATTGACATCACATCATCACTCAACGACGGCGACAAGTTTCGAAAAATACACGATAAACAAGCGATTTTACCATAAATCTCTTTAATATGCAAGGATCGCATTTTTCTGCTCAAACCAAGACTTTCAACGGATAAATAAAGTGTACAGGAAGCCGTTTGACACATCCGGACAAGTTCCAGGTACCCTCAAGCAAGTGGCAAATTTCTGACATCATTTAAAACGTATCATGCAGCACATCAAATCGCATGAGCTCGCAAAAATAAGATTATTGGTGTTTAGGTAAAGTGCCTAAATAGGACTACATTTCCCACACCTGGACTTGTTCTGGGTGCCCCCGGGGAAATGGAAAGAATATGAAATGGGTCACAACCCATCATGTGACACATCAAATCAGATGAGGATTTTAAAACAAGAACATTGCTGGTCAGATTGAGTACCCAAAACCTCATTGGCCACACCCCACAGTGGTTCCTGGCCGGCCAAAACCTCAAAAATCAAAGTTGGTATTTTTTTATTTCAATATTTTTTTATCATTTTTAGATGTTTAGAGTATCTTAAATTGAATAATTTGTGAAGTTCTGTTGATTACATATTTTTTTATGGTTGTTATAGTGTAGCGATATCACAAATTTTTGAAAAAAATCGTAATGTTTCTTGATACTGTTTTGCTCAAATATAGCAAAAAATTATGTGTTTATCGACTTGGTTGCTTCAGAAGAAATGTTCCTCGGCTTATTTAACGTCAAATGGATGGTAAAAAAGAGTGTCTGCACTGTTTTTAGTGACAGTTTCAAATAAAAATGTAGCAAAAATGTACTTTTTTCACATTTAGACTAAGCGAAACATATGACGGACACATCCGCCCACTATCCTATAGTAACCAAAAGATAGCTAGAAAAGTTAGCTTTCAGATAGGCTCTAATGTGTTTTGCGATTTTTTGCGAAAGATGATGAAATTAGGAATAACAAGTAAAGTGTTCTTTAGAAAATATCCGTTTCTAAGTTATATAACCTGCGGTGTATACGGTAGCAAGCTTCACAATGCCTTTTTCAAGGCACATCAACAAGCACACACATACACACACGCACCATATATATAACTCTTATGTTTCATGAGTTATGATTTTTTTTAAACAAGCAGGTTAGGGTGACCCCTAGACAATCGGCATTCTTTAAAAATCTTTTTATACGTTCATTTCTTGTGAAATTTTATACTAGACATAAGAACCTTTTATGACGCATTTTTTTGTTAAGGTGTTATCTCTTTTATTTGAAAAGTTATGGCTAGTTTTTGTTGAAAATATTACTTTTTTTTTAAATTAAATTAAATGCTTTAAACACAAAAAGCTCTTGCAGTTTTTTTTACCAAAAAATGAAGAAAAAACGATGTTTTCAATGAACTTTAATGTTTGAAAATCGGTTTGCCCAATATTGAGATATTGACAATTGAAAAGAGCCATTTCTTCGAAGAAAATAGCCTTCAACTTTCTAATCAAAAAAGATAGTAACCTAGTTGCTTGAGCAAAAATATGCGTCATCAAAAGTTCTAAATTAATAAGAACAATTTTTCACGAGAAATTAACGCATGAAAAGATATTCAAAGAAAACCGATTTTAGTGGCCACCCTAACCTGTTTGTTTCAAAAAATCATAACTTATTAACCATAAGAGATAAAAATGTTGTGTCTCGAACAAAGTTGCTTTGAATTGAATGTTCAACAACTGTTTTCAACACTGCTTTGGTCCATCTCAAATAATAAAAAAAGTTTGTATTTTAAATTTACCAATTTTATGGACCACCCTAATTTTACGAACATAAAAAGATTGAACAAAAAATATGAAGCAACTTTCCCTAAGAAACCATACACCTAAAACTGACGGTTTGGGCGCAAACATTTTTGTCTTCCTATATACGGCTTCGGGACCATTGTGCATTGGTTTTGGTTCTTCTATACTCCTTTTTGTGACGTCTTGATTGTCAAGTTTTCTTCGTACAGCTAATAAACATCTATTTCAACTGTTTCTTGCCTATTTGCAACAATTTTGAGGTTTTGGCCAACTTTTGTTCTAAGGGGAACCACTGTGCACCCGGACATGTTCATTACAAATGTGGTTAGTATTCAGCATAATTCAAAACCCTTCAAACATCAAATCACATGAAGGTTCAAAACAAGATAATTGGCGGTTAGGTTGAGTATTCAGGACCACTTTGACCACCCCCGACATGTTTCGTGTACTCGCGGGTAAGTGGCCGAAGTATCCGATATGGCACAAAACCAAGGGGTAAGTCACTCAGCACATTGGGTCGAAATTAGATTCGGCACAGCTTGGGCACATCCATCGGCACACCTTTGGCATACCTTCGGCACAATCTCGTAGGCATTGGATTGTTATTAATAAAATGGGACCTACAGACCTACCTCTTGCACAAAACCCTGCATGCGACACATCAAAATATATGAGGCTCGAAGGGATTGACTCATCTCGACTAGATCGCCACATGTTTGTAGGAAATATCATTGCGCCCTTTCATTAGGAGTGGTCGTTCATTTCGAAAAGCATCGTGAGTCTTTATACAAAGATCTTTTGAAGAAAAAAAAACGGAAGGCACCACGGTATATCCAATCCACTGAATGTTATACCCCGTTCACATTACAACCTATATCACGTAAGTCTGAACACTTATACATAGGATTTCCAGTGAAAACTAGATGTATGAGTGCTCATTGCAAGACAGCGTATATCACGTGATATACGCTGTAATATGGACGGGGTATAATAACTAGGTACGTTATGATTTCATAAATTTGCTTAGATTAGCTTAGTTGGATTCATCTGCAGAACGGAAAGGCAAATAATCGACTGCATGGTGGGTGATTTTCTTGTATCTAGCTTTCCACGCTCATTAATGGTGGCCTGTATTTTATGAATAAATGTATCCTTCAATGTGTTTTTCGACACTAACTGCACGGTAAGAAAAAAGTACCGTATGCGTGATAATGTTTGCACCATCGTACAAATAAGGTTCCCGTTTCACCTGTGCATACAATGCCTTGGTTTTCTTTGCATGCACGTAACCTATAGCTCATACCTTAGTAGGCTGTGTATAAAAGAAAATGATTTACTTTGTTTGACAGTTGCA